AATCACATACACTTATTGGAAGCACAATTGACTTTGTTTAACACAAAACCCGTGTCACTAGGAGAAGATTTTATATCCCCCTATTTTTCTTCTTTTTTTTTTTCGCTATCGATCTTAATCCTATACATGATAGCAACTTCCCTTAACACAAAGATTTTCTCTGGTTCTGTGAAGTTTGTGCTATAGGGGTTTTACTGTATTGAAATTACACTGAGATGTTTCATCTTAATATTCTTAGGATTGTCACCTTTTTTTTCTTTTAATTAGAATCATTAGAGTACCTTTGAGAGTTTTAACTGGTTTGGTATCGACATCCGAACTTTGTTCAATACTCCTTCTTTTCAAAGTAACGAAAATTAACCCCAAAAACACAGCATTTTCTCAATCCATCGACATTATTTGTAGAGCTGTTGACTTTTAGGTTGTATCTTGACTTGTACATGTAGTATCTATTTGATCATTTCTTACTTGTAAAAGTGTCATTTGGTACAAATTGTCCTTTTGTGTTGTTTGCTATAACGGAGGGGAAATGGCAATCCAGCTGTATAACTCTTTTGAGAACGGCTCAGATATATAATAATATATATAACATAGGCCTGCAGGTATAAATATAACACAAGCACGCAATATTATTGGGGGTTTTTGTCAAAACTTTTTCCGTTACATGATCTGTGATGTCGTAGTTTGGCTCTCGGCCGTTACCGGCAGAGGTTAATTTGTTAATGGAGTTTCTAAACATCTATCGTCTTTATCTCTCCTCCTTCTTTTTTGTGTTTGTTACTCTCTTGTAACACCTCTAATCTTCTGGTGCTCATATTATGACCTTATGCAGTTGCAAGCGCCGTAAAACCTCTACTAAAACTAAAACATGTTGGCTCTGAAAGGCTGGGTCGAAGCACGCGCCTCCCAGATAACCTAAATTGTGTTGACGAGGGCTTACAATACTTACAGTTGTCTGCAATGATCACTTTCTAAAACTTTTGCTTGTTATTTAAGTGCACACCTTGTGATTTATGTTGAGACATTCCTTTTCTGGTTTACATGGTATATGTGGAGTAAAAATATTCTCTGAAACAATATAGCGCTATCCTCTTTGGTGTTGGAGTACATTTGTGCGAATTGTTTGTTGATTTCAGATTATGACTTATGTTGTTTTATAGGCGTCTATGTTGTGTCGCTATGACATTTTGCTATCACAAGTAGATCTAGAAGACCTGGGTTTGATTCCTGTGTGGGAGGAATGTTTGTTGAGTATCTCTTTCATTCTGCTATGACATTGTTTGTATGATTTCTCTCAGCCCAGTGGACCCCCCGGGGCGGTGCCACTGACTGTACTGTCTTTAGGCCATTCCCAAAGGGGGGACATTTCTCGTTCAAGCGCAGTAGAATTGTAAATGGGCTGATTCATGTCGTGCTCATAACTGTGCCTGGTCTACAACAGGGAACTGCTGCTTTTTCTTTCTTAATCCTTACTATCGCCATTTTTTCTCTACTTCTTTTGTATGTTTGTCACACTCTTGTGACCCGCTATTTCAGGGGTGCCTTGATAGTCAAAGCAGACTTTCTTCTGTTGAAGCTAGAGAGGTGAGCAGAGTAAGCCTGATTCCCTGTAAAGATTTCTCTGTTGACATCCACCACCTTGGTGCTCATATGACCTTATGCAGTTGCGAGCACCGTAAAACCCTCTACTATAAAAAAAAGATACGATGGTGTATCGCTACGACATTTTACTATCACAAGTAGATCTAGAAGATCTGGGTTTGATTCCTGTGTGGGAAGAATGTTGAGTATCTCTTTCATTATGTACAGAAAAGTGGGGAGACATGGAATAACATCAAGAAGCTAGCCCAGGGTAGAGAAAAGTGGAGGGTGTTTGTCCGTGGCCTATACCCTGGTGCAGGGTGACAAAGGCAATGATGATCTCTTTCATTCTACTTTGACATTTGTTTGTTTGATCTCTCTCAGCCCGGGTTGGCTTGGTCAAAGCTCGCCTTCTAAATTATTTGTCTTTTATGTCGATGGGGGTAATAAAGAAATACCTTCATTTAATTCTTCATATTTATGCTGTTATTGGCTTTCTCCCTGGAGAGGATTTGTTTCTGTAATTAGTTTATTCCACAGATAAGCTTACACAATATAATATAATTGATACCAGCCTTTGTTGCATACTGTGTCTGATATTTTTTAACGAAATTGACTTATGGATAATTATATATACATATATATATACATATATATATATATATATATATATATATATATATATATATGTATATGTGAATGAATTGTCTCTTCTGTTTGAAACAATAAAGTACGGAGTAATAAATACATGTATGTGTGAGTTTGGTTTCTTTGTTCTGTCTATTACAGAATTGTACACCATTATATATATTTCATATGGTGAAGTTAGAATTTGTGTTTGAGATAAATGTTGATTTTTAAAAACAATTTGAAATACATTCTTTAGGAAGGGATTGTGGGTGGTTGACAGGTGCTCTGGTGTAGTTTGCTCCTTCTGTCCTATCAAACATCTATCGTCCTCATCTCTCCTCCTTCTATTTTGTGTTTGTTACTCTCTAGTAACGCCTCTAATCTTCGGCACTTATAAAAAAAAACTTACTTTGTTGCAAGTGCCGTAAAACACTTACTAAAAAAAAAAAAAAAAAAAAGAAGAAAGGGATGATTATAAGATAGGACTTGAGCTGAAGTTTAAACATAAAAACTTAAAGCAGATAATACTTCCATCTACTCTCAAACAGGTGGTTGCTTGATATCACGTTGGCTGTATAGCATAGTCATACATGTATAGAGATAAATTGCTCATTAAGAAAGCAAACTTCTCTTTTGTGTCTGCTTTTCATTCCTTGATAACTTTAACCTCTTCACTGCAGAGTAGACGTATGTTTCAGCTTATTCTCCTATTACATGTATATTGTTTCAACTGGTTGACAGAAGAAGTTTTAGTTGGTATAGTTACAGCTTGTGATTTTGCTTATTCTGAAACAATTCTCTGTGTCTAAATATTCCTTGAATTAACATTTTATCTTGTCTGTACAGATGTTGATGGACATTTTTCAGCAGTGAAGAGGTTAAGAAATGATGCAAGCATTACAGGAGCTTTTACTTTTGAATAGATCTATATGCGCCATGAATAAGCAGATATATTGTACTTTCGTGGAAGGAAAAGAAATCAAATGAAGTAATGCTTGATGAAGCCCACATGGGACGCTCAATGTTAAAAACAATCAGGAAACGACAAATGCAGTTTTTGGGACACCTGAACAGACATAAGGGTCTTGAACATCTAGCTCTCACTGGCAAAATTGAGGTCAAGCGAGGCAGGGGTAAGCCCAGAACAACATACTTAGGGAACCTAAACAAATGGGTAACAGGGAAAGATCAGGGAAACGTAGCTTTTTTTAGAGCATCCGAGCAAAGGAATGAATGGAAAACCATGATCGCCGATGTCTGTCGCAGATCTGGCACTGGATGATGATGATGACTGTACTTTCTTCTTTTTTTTTTTCCTAAATGGATAAATCTATCCCCGCGGTTTTATGCACCCCGCATAATTTAGCAAAATGTGATCATTTTTTGCATAATTTCTGACTTTTTTCTTTTATCATTTTTTTTTTTTAATTAACAGAATCGCATTATTTCACATTTTTGGGCTCAGTTTGCATAATTTCAGAATTTTTTTTGCTCAAAACGGCGGACACAGAAAAATGTGTATCATGTGTGCGTGGAGAAGGGTCTTAAGTTGTCGAAAATTTTCAATATTTTGAAATTAGGGTTATATTCTTGTAGCCAATTCAACCCTGAACACAGTGATTTTAAAACTTTTCTAATATCTGAGTAGTTTTAAAGATATACCACATACATTTTGTTACATAACGAGTAAAAACAAAGTTTGGAGAAGTGGGTGGTACGCGGGTGCTCTGGTGTTGTGTGTTCCTTCTTTCCTATCATCAAACATCTATCGTCCTTATCTACACTCCTTCTTTTTTGTGTTTGTTACTATCTTGTAACACCTCTATTCTTCGGCACTTGACCCATCAATGATTTATTTATAGAGGCACCAGCCATCCATGTCCAGGTGTTGTTTTAGCCTCTTCGGCACTTATATGACCTTATTGTGTTGCAAGTGCTCTAAAACTCTTACTAAAACTAAAAGTTTGGAGAAAAACCCAATTTCTAGCACACATTTTAACCTTTGATGAGGTACGCCCACGTCATGCTTCAAAAATAACCAATAAAAGATATTAGGCCTTGAAATATTGTAAAATCCTTTCAATATGGTACTAAGATATATGGTTAAAATGGGTCTCTGGTGAAACTAAATTTGTTACCAGTACGAATTTTTTTACCTTGTCTCCCCTTCGCGCAAAAATAGCTTTGCCGACAACTGGGGCCTGTCTCCAGACACACACACACACACACACACACACACACACACACACACTCAAAGACACACACACACACACACACACACTAAATATGTGTACGTATTTCACTGATTGCTTTGTGCAAGGAAGAGGTATAATTAATAGCAAATGTGCAACACACATCTGAAAAACTGTGTTGTTTGCGGGTGCTCTGATGTGGTTTCCTCCTTCTTTCCTATCAAACATCTTTCGTCCTGATCTCTCTTCCTTCTTTTTTTACGTTTGTTACTCTCTTGTAACACCTCTAACCGTAAGCACTTATATGACCTTATTGTGTTTCAAGTGCAGTAAAACTTTTACTAAAACTAAAGCATCCGAAAAATATATTTTCAGAATATTAGACAATTCCACATGCGGCTAGCTGCAGCCCGTCAGCCTGTCTGCTTAGGCGTGGGATTGAAGAATGACATAATGTGCCACTGTCAACCCTCTCTGGTGTCATTCAAACTTTGCAACTATCTTCGCGGGGACACAGTAATCTCTCTCTCTCTCTCTCTCTCTCTCTCTCTCTCTCTCTCTCTCTCTCTCTCTCTCTCTCTCTCTCTCTCTCTCTCTCTCTCTCTCTCTCTCTCTCTCTCGAGTATTGTCATAGAGTTATCTCCTATTTAAACGTACCTAGTAGTGTAAATCTATGGAGTATTGTCGAGTTATCCAAAGGATCGGTCCTTTTCATAGGAGTAATCTCCCCTGCAGAACCTTGGATACCAACAACGCCACAGCGAGGAAGTGGGCTGGAAAATCATCCTGCATAGTTTACTTCCTCTGTGTTCTTGTTGATCGCCACACACGCTTGTCATCCTTTGATCTTTAAATAGAACCTTAGAGCTGTTGTGGAAATTGGCATTGTTGTCTGACTGAGAGGATTACTCTGGTTTTGAGCATCATGCCTGCTAGCAGCTCCGCTGGGTCGGCTTCGGCCTCGAGAAAAAAGAAAGAAGACGTGGCAGAGAAGGTAGGCTAATTTTGTTGAGTTTCAAAGTGTCTTCGTTAACTGTAGGCCGAGATCTAGATCAGTGATCATAGTGTATGCTTGTGTTAGACCTATAAAAAACTGTCCTAATTAACTTTGGAAACGTATTGCAAATTTTAATTAATTCAATTTACATTGTTGATAACTTTATGATTAATTTTTCATACTCATACTCCACACCCCTCACACACTCACCTCCTCATACACTCACCCCCTCACACATACACATACACAAACACACACACACACACACACACACACACACAACACACACACACACACACACACACACACACACACACACACACACACACACACACACACACACATTCACTCACACACATAGATACTGACACACATGACACATTCACTCACACAACACACACACACTCACACACACACACACGCACACACACACACACTCACACACACACACACGCACACACACACACACTCACACACACACACAACCACAATTCAAACTAAAAAAGACAACGTTGCACAATAAAACAGCCACAGTGGAAAAGCATAGAACAGCACATACGCAAGGCGTACTAGAGAACAAGTGATCTGCCGAATTAAACTCAGTACTCAAGATTCTGTATTACTCACAGTTTTTCGACTGTCACTTTGTTCACACGGTAGCCTACACTTCTTCTGTAACACGTACTGGTATTCAAATTTGCTGTCACAAAGGCACATTATAATGGCATATCCTCATCCATACTAGAATTGAGAAATCACTACCGCTTTTAACGCTCTTCAGTCACTTGCCGCAATTATGCGCCAGTGAAAATTATCCGTTCCTAACACGAAAAGTCTGTTGCAGTCACTCTCCTGGCTTGGTGACCAGATGGAGTATTTATTTTGTACTGCTAGCTGTGTGACTGCAAAGTGTTAACTTATTGCTTGATGACAAGAACCTTCCTAAACATGTCACTATTGAAATGAATGTTCTTGTATTCAACCCCTTCGCTTTCAGTCCCAAGAGAATATATGGGTCTAGATCTACAGCAACTTGATTTAAAGTATGGCTCAGCTGTGAAAGAGTAAAGAAATGTCTTATTTAGAGCCAATGTTTTAGATTGTTACTTTTCAACTGCCATAGTCAAAATTATGTAACTGCTCAAATTGAAAGAGCTATCATATGTGAGCATGATAAGCTTTTGAATGGTGATGATTTTTAATAAAATTAAAATGTTCATAAAAATGTAAACCAGTTCTGAAATTGTTTCTAAGTTCTCAGAGAAAAATGGTGAAGGTTTCCAGTAAATAATTTAAATAGGCTACAGAATTATATGTGAGGCAGCGTGGTGGAATCAGGCTCTTGTCAAAATAATCAAAGTGAAGAAACTTGCATTTTTCTGCAGGTTTGTGAATTTTTATAAAATTTATGTTTTTGGGCTCAACACCTTTCATGCCCATTAAAGAACTCATTTATGTGTGGATTTTTCAGAAAAACGTTGATTAACAGCACAAAAAAGTAAATTTTCAGTTACCACGGACTCTTAAGCTAAGGAAATAACTAATCTTTGGTGGCCATTTTCTCACTAATTTTACCTCTAAAAACAACTGACCCTCACCTCCTTCATTTGCAAATATCTCGACTTGTATTCAAGGTAAATGGATATTTTAAAAATACAAATAAAGACAAATAAACAAGCTTTAAGATGATACCAATAACTCTACACGCCCAAAAATTGACAAGAGCCTGATTCCACCACGCTGCCTCACATATATGTAATTCAACTTTTTGTTTTTTTCCTGTACTTTAGGTCCGAGAAATCAAGCAACGTCAACAGAACTGGTTAAAACAGAGAGAACAAACCAAACATTCCGATGAACTAGGAGCAAGTAAGTGGCCATTATTTTTTTTATTGCTTTTTTTTTGGTCAAGCTTTCCATTTTGTTGAAGTAATTGTTAAAATATCAGTTTCATTTTGAAGGGGCTTGTGGAAATTTAATGTATTTGTTTCTCTTTTCTTTGACATGTGGTTTAATTTGTTTTAGAACCGCTTTTCTCCTCAACCATGAGTCATCATCTTTACTTGGACAATTTCAATTATGAATGTGAGGCATCATTGTGAAATCAGGCACTCGTCAAAATAATGTCTCAACACCTTTTATGTCCCTTCATATGTCAACACATTTCCATTAAAATTTTAAAATTAAAACTCAAAAAAATATGTTGTCAGTTGCCAAGGACTCTCAAGCTATTGAAGTTACCTAACTTTGGCAGCCATTTTCTCGCTAGTTTTACCTTTGAAAGCTGGTGATGACCCCCACTTCCTTCAATAATAAATATCTTGACTTGTTTTCAAGGCAGAGTTTTTTTCATAGCAAACAAGGCAAATTAACATGCTTTCGGTTGATACCAATAACTTAACATGTCTAAAAATTAATGAGCCCCTGATTTCACTGCATCCTGTCACAAATATATTACTTTCTTGCTCTGATTTGTCTTTGTTTCAGAATCCAAAGTTCAGCAGAATGGAAGTCAAGTGAAACTTGTTAGGCCTCAGAAAGTTCCCAGTGGAAAAAAAACTCAGCAAAATCTGCCGGCATCTTCAAGCAATATTTCTTCAAACAAAACTACTTCTGATGTAAGGTTGCATGCCGAGATTTGGGCTATTCCATGAAAAATGAAACTGCAGTGACACATGTAATGCTGAATTGCTGACCTGAGCAATATTTAGAGCCATTCTTTTTTGTTTTATCAGAGGCAACCTTCCTCTTTCAATTTTTGTTGTAAGGTTTTGTTTTGAATTTTTTTCAGCTGGTAATTATCCTTGCTATGTGCCACTGCAGTTTCATTTTTCATGGAATGACAAAATTCATTAACGCAAAAGAGAAATGCTGTCTTTTTTGTGTTAAAATGGAAGCTTTGATCAATGTCTGATCCATATTGCCATTGTATTCATGCTTTTCTGTGGATATTTCTTTGTCGTCTTTTGGTCATAACTTAACAAGCTCAATATTTTTTTATTAGTAACCTTTTAATCATCATTTATTTATTTATCGCTTCAGCTGACAAGTAGGCCTATACAGTATACTTGGTACTGTGATAGATTTTACTTCTGAAATGGCAAAGGGTAATTTCAGTCATCAAAGTACAAGCATCGCTGTCAAGTGTTTTGTGGTGGAAATCTTTTTAAAATCAAGACATAAGAATAATGTAGGCCTCTATAAATAAATCTAGATATATGAAACATCTATATTTTCAAAATGATTACTGCCACCACAGAATGCACACACCCAAGTGTTTTAGACATGGGGTTTATCAGGTGAACCCCAGTTGTGGATATAGTTTTGGCCCAAACACAGACTTGTTGATTGTACTTTCATTCCACTTTGGTACCAATTTCTTGGCCTAAAGTCAAAAGTGGGGATGATTTTTACAAATGGATTTTACTTTTTGTCTCTTTATAGGTCAAGGATAAATTCAAACTCTGGAGGACTGCGAGAGCCCAAAGACAGCCTTCCAAAGACGATGGAGACTTTAATGACTGCACAAGCATCAGAAGTGGTGCCGAAAGTGAGCTGGAGAGGCTCATTTCACCCGAGCTGGAAACTGTGAGACAGCCGGTAGCTGAGGAGAACTTTGATGATTTGGCCAATCAAATAGCAGAACGCGTGAAAGGAGACCTTGGGCTGGAGCAGAACGGCTTGCATTTATCTCCGATTCCATCTGCAGCATACCACACAGATGGAGAAAGTTCAAATGACCATACCTGGAACTCTAGTCGTTGCAAAACCTTTACAAGAGAAGTCCCAACTTTCAATCATCTCGGAACTTCTGGTCTTACAAGCCACACATGTACAGTTTGTAAAAAGCTAATGGTATGAGTGCTGAAAACATTCCTTTTGTTGACTTTTGATACAGAACACTGTTTAATGTTATAATTTAAACATAGTATTATCTTTCATGTAGGCCTCATTTCCTGTCTTTTCTATCTCAGTTATAAAATGATTAAACCTGTACTGTAAATTCTTTGCCATATTGGCAGGCTGAAGGCTAGAACTCAGATGGCCGCTGGGTCGGAAAAGGAAAGTATAGCATGATATTGATAGAGTCACAACTGGAGTGAGGAAAGACTGACCCATGAGGCCAGAGGACAGACAAAATACTACCATGCAGGGAGGCAAATGTGCAGAAATAAGAAGGTGCCTAAAAGCCATGCTGACATATGGGTTTTGGGCAGTAATATGGACTGCAATCTCTATTACAAAATGTTGGTGTTGACATAATGAAACTATAGCAAAGAGAAATTGATGAGTAATAAAATTAATACTTGACTGAAAGCCTGTTCATAGAGTGTTAATGACATATGTGAGGTGTGCTGACAAAATGAGTTACTTCTTGCAATCCACAAATGGAGATATTGGCCGAAAATCAACACTAAGGTCAAATTTTCAGATTTTCTATTGATGCCGTATTGTTTAAGTATAATAAGCCATAGGTCTCGAATCCGAAAAGTAACTCATTTTGTCAGCGCCCTTCACATATATTCTTCAAAAAGAAATTTTTCAAGCCTGAATCTTGTTTAATATTTATTACCTATAAGGATTTTCCTTCCTGAGAGTTACTTTTGTGTCCCCCAGTTATCATCCAGCCACATCCCCATGATGGTCATTCCTTGCGGTCACACCCTGTGCAAGTCCTGTTCTGAAGGAAGGAGCTATTGCCCGAGCTGTGACTGCCCGGTCGTGTCTCTCACTGTCAACATCATGCTGCAGCAAGTTATTCAGGAATACCACGCCCATCCTAAAGCATCAAGTTCCCATAACAACGACACTCAGGATGAAATTACAGTCGACATTGTCTCCCCCGGTGGAAGGAACTACTCCCCAGGGAAATATGTAGAAGGTAAGCGTGTTATTTTTGTGCACTGAAAGGCTTTTTGTTTGGGAAAATCTTTTTTAAAGTTTTAGTATGTGTTTTACGGGACTTGCAACACAATAAGGTCATATAAATGCCAAAGATTAGAGGTGTTACAAGAGAGTAACAAACACAAAAAAGAAGGAGAGAAAAGGACAATAGATGTTTGATAGGAAAGATAAGAAGCCAGCCACACCAGAGCATCCGCCAACCACCCACGGAAAATCTTTACCTGATATATTTTCTGTGGCAGACAGATTAATAGATAGATTAATGGATGGATGGGTGTATGAACAATCACTTGTACAAATGGCCACTTCTCTCTTTCCCCTTGCATTAAAAAAAAAATATGATAATGACAGCCGAAGACGTCCTCTTGTCTAAGACAACCACTTTTGTTTGTTTTGTTGTTTTAGTAGAGGTTTTACAGCACTTGCAACTGCATAAGATCATATGAACGCCAAGGGGTGGAAGTGGATGTCAAACTTACTCTGCTCACCTCTCTAGCTTCAACAGCACAAAGTCTGCTTCGACTATCACTATCAAGGCACCCCGGAAATAGCAGGTCACAAGAGTGTGACAAACTTACAAAAGAAGTAGAAGAAAATGACAATAGTAAGGATTAGGAAAGAAAAAGCAGCAGTTCCCTGTTGTAGATCAGGCACTGTTATGAGCATGACATTGATGAATCAGCACATTTACAATTCTACTGTGCATTAGAACGAGAAATGTCCCCCCTTTGGGAATGGCCTAAAGACATTTCTGTCAGTGGCACCGCCCCTGGGGTTAACCACTTTTCTCCTTGACAATGAGTCCTCATTGTGGACAAATTTGACTGTATTTAAATTTCCGTATTTCAGACAACAGAAGGAACAGGATGGCCTCCTACAAGAAGCAACTGGTGTCTTTGCAGACGAGGCATGAAGTCCTGTCAAACGAACATGACTCTTTATCGGAGAAGAGGGAGAAAGTGAATAAAAGCTTGCATCATGAGCAAACTCAAGTTCAAAACATTCGCAAGCAAGAAGAGGAAGTGAGTCGAAGCATCTCCGAGCTACAAGAGCGGCTTGGAGCACTACAGGAGCACAGGTGGGTGGCTTGCTATCTCTGTCCCCGTCGTTTTATGCGAGAAAATTTCTGAAAGTATGCAAACTGAGCCCAAAAATGTGAAATTATGCGATTCTGTGAATTTTTACTAAGAATGATAAAGGGAAATAATCAGAAATTATGCAAAAAATTATCAAATTTTGCTAAATTATGCGGGGTGCCTAAAACCGTGGGGACAGCTATCTGTCACAAAAGACCTCAGTCAAACAGTATTACTTACTTACTTACTTACTACCCATTACGCCATCTGGCATTTAGGGCAGCAACAAAGGATCTCCAGCTCTGTCTGTTTTGGGCCATCTTGGTCAGCATCCCCCACGAATGGTTCCAGGACTTCATTTCAGACTCTACTGTGCGTCTCTAGGTCACTTCGGGTCTGCCCCTCTTGTCCTTTGGTCAAACAGTGTGTTATCAGTTTTATTTTAACTGTAATTTTTTTTTTTTTAAATGCCCCAACTCTCCCTTGCATACAAATCCAACCAGTAACATCAAATTAAGTAACACCTCGCTCTCATCCTGTCTCACTGGGCGTATTGATTGTCAACAGAAAGTAAGATTATCAAGTTGCAACATGGAAAAGCGGTAATGATTAACACACTTCCTGTGTGTTAATCCACGAGAAAATATAGTTGCAGACACACTGTTTGACCGCAAATGTTGGTGTTCGTGGTCTAGTGGTTAGGCTGTATGGCTCATAAGCAGAAAGTCATGTTTTCAAACCCCATCAGGGGCCCGAAGTTGTGTCTCTGAAAAAGGCACTTTGCATGAATTTTCCCTTACTTCGCCCAGTTGGGAATGGGTATCCAGCTATAGATAGTGAAAGATCTTGTTAGTTTGTTAGTGTTTGAGCATTTAATAAGCTGCTTGCACTGGATGCTTCCCGTGCATTCGAGAATGTTTTTGTGTGTTGTTGGGTCTGCTGTGTCAATAACGTAGATTGTAAAGTGCATAGAGCTTGCTGTTGAGAGTGGAAATGCACTATACAAATGCTAACGTTATTCATCATCATCATTATCATCATCATTATCATCATCATCATCATCATCATCATCATCATCATCTCATCATCATCATCATCCTTGGGCTAAAATCAAAAGAAGAATGTCCTCAAACTCTGTGTTATTCTAAAACAAGTTTCTCAGCTGTTGTAATGCTGGTCAAGGCATGCAAGTATAATGATTTTATTCTATAGGCCTACTCCTTTTTCCTATTGCCAAAAACTGTGTTGGTTCCATAGCAATGTTTGAATGAAGTAAGTAACAGAATCAGATTGCGGAAGAAAAACTGCATACCTGTGTTACAATCAACTTAAGTTTAGTCACTGTTCAAAAGCAAGCTCTTTTGATTTTGAAGGTCTCAGTCGTAGGCCATTTAGATTATTTCAGCCGAAATGGGCCAAAATTATGGCCTTTTCCCCCGTCCTTGAAGGAAAATCTGCTGGCCCCAACTCTATCAAAAGGAATTTGATTGGCAGCATGCACTTGGAATAAGCTGTACTGTTTTACTTACAACCTCTGAATACTGTTATTCTTTATTCGTAGAATAGGCTTCGTTTTAAGTTTTAGTAGAGGTTTTATTGCGCCCGCAACTGCATAAGGTCATATGAGCGTCAGAAGATTAGAGGTGTTAGTAACAAACATAAAAAAGAAGAAGGGGAGATAAGGACGATAGATGTTTGATAGGAAAGAAGAAGCAAACCACCCCAGAGCACCCGTCAACCACCCACGAATAGGCTTCATGTAAGCTGAAGATTCAAAATTATTGTATGTTTTCTATTTTGCAGGCAACAGTATGAAGTCAAAGTGAGTGAGCTGCAGGACGAGAGCAGTGAAGTAGATGGGAAAGTGCACCTACTGTCAAGTACTCTGGCTTCTCTTAATAGGGAAATTGAAAAGGTAACGTGATTATTGGCTGTCTCTAAGCAGCTCCTTCAATTTAGTTTTAATTTCAATAAGTGTTTTACGGCACTGACAACACGATAAGGTCATATAAATACGGAAGATTAGAGGTGTTACAAGAGCAACAAATACAAAGAAAAGAAGAAGGGGAGATAAAGACGATAGATGTTTGATAGGAAAGAAGAAGCAAACCGCACCAGAGCACCCACCGAACTCCCACAGCTACTTCAATGCTTCTGGTTCTTTGAGGTTGAAACAGAGAGAAAGATTTGAGAAAGAGAGAGATACGAGGGAGAGAGAAAGAGACAGTAAGAGAAAGACATTTTAATTGTAGAAGTTTTATGTCCCCTTCAGTACCATTCAGATAATTGGTTGCTTTTAAGCACAAGGGGGCAATCCTGAAAAATACTGTTTTGAGAAAATTGAAGGTAAAGATTTTGCTCCTTGTTCAGTTTCTTTAAAAGACAAGGAGAGTCTTCTCTATAACCAAACAAATGTACACACCAATGAAACCAAACTTCTCCCACAGGTAGGGCAATGCCCACTTTTGGTGCAGGTCAAGATTTCTGGAAACCCTCAAAATCTGGGTTAGCCCACTTGTCCTTATAAGCGACCAATTTAAGAGGAGGGTTGAGAGGGATACAGAGAAAGAGATATGGAGGGGGGGAGAGAGAGATAGAGAAAGAGATATGGGGGGGGGGAGAGAGAGAGAGGTATAGAGAAAAAGATATGAGGGGGGAGAGAGAGAGAGATAGAGAAAGTGATAGAGAGAGAGAGACACAGAGAGAGAGAGAGAGAGACACAGAGAGAGAGAGAGAGAGAGAGACACAGAGAGAGAAAGAGAGAGAGAGAGAGTTCATGCTCTCGGACACGACATTGTTGTTTGGGTACACATGTGTTACAGAGTTGTGCGTCGTTGCACGTGAATCATTGATGTACTGTTCCCGCCATTTTATGCAAAAAGAAATTCTGAAATCATGCGAACTGAGCCCAAAAAATGTGAAATTATGCGATTCTGTTTATTTTAACAAAGAATGATAAAGGAAAATAATCAGAAATTATGCAAAAAATGATCAAATTATGCAAGGTGCATAAAGCCACGGGGACAGGATGTACAATAAGTGCATTTCTGCATTGATACTGAATCTTTATGAGTTGATGCTCAATTTATCCACGAAAACATCCCCTTGTGAATCCATAAAGCTTACCTTATCTTTTCTTCTTCTCATTAGTATAATTATTAGTATTATCATGATCTCATGTTTTACCCTACTTTTTGACAGGTGAAGCTTCTCGCTGAGGGAGAAGCCGACAACTGAGTCATGTTTCGGCCGTACCTGTGAGAAAACAGCTGAGACTGTCAAGTCGAGGAGCTTTGCTGTGCTTCATTACATGAGGTTGTACTTGATGAAGCCCACGCGGGACACTCACTGTTAAAAAACAGTCCGAAGACGACAAAGCAGTTTTTGGGACTCCTAAATAGACTTCAAGGTCTTGAATATCTAGATCTCTCTTCCAAAATTGAGGGCAAACAAGGCAGGAGTAGGCCCAGAGCAACCTACTTAGAGGACCTAATCAAATGGGTAGAAGGGAAAGATCAGATTACTGTAGTTTTTTTAACCCTATCCGTACGTCATGTTTTACTATCGTATCCATACGATGTGGGGAGCTCTGTGCCACAACTTTCCAAAGAGGAAATTTACTCGTTAATCCGATCCGTAGGCTTTGCATAGCAGTCTGTCAAAATGATTTTTGAAAAATACTGAAAGTTTCAAAGAGATCTTCGTACTAGAAGTATTCTAAAATGTGAAGATTACAACCCCAGGGGGTACAAAACGTCCCCAGGACGTTCGGATAGGGTTAAGAGCTTCCGTGCAAAGGAATGAATAGAGATCCATGATCGCCGATGTCTGCCGCAGATCTGGCACTTGATGATGATGATGATGATATTACATACCCAGGCAGCGTACTATTTTTCCCTCGGAAACACAATATGATAGTTAGATGTAGAAAACAAAAACAAGGAAAACTCAGAATAACTGATAGCACAAACAATTTGCCATTCTGCGACTGATATCTCTTTAATATATGTGAGGTATCCTGGGGAAATCAGGCGCTCGTCAAAGTCAAAATAATGAAATTGAAAAAACAGGCATTTTTTTCTCCAGTTTGACAATATTTTTCTAATTTTTGCCTTTTGGCTCAACACCTTTTGATGAAAAACGTTGATTAATATCACAAAATATGTACATTTATTTTTCAAAGACTCAAGCTACAGGCCTAGAAGTTACCAAACTTTGGTGACCATTTTCTCGCTAATTTCACCTCTAAAACCAGGCTACCCCCAACTCCTTCAATCGAAAATATATCTCAATTTCTATTTGAGATACACGGGTATTTTTTTCATAGAAAGCAAGGCAAATGAATAAGCTTTCAGGCGATGCCAATAACTCCACATGCCCAAAAATTAATGAGCGCCTGATTCCACCGCGTCGTGACACATATTTCGCTATCAGTTTACCGGAATTATGGACTTGTCAAACGCAATTTGTTTATCCCTGTTTCAAAACCAGAAAGATATGAGAACTCGTTGAGGTATCACTAAAAAATTAGTAAGAAAGAGAAAGCCACACTGGAACAAGCACTCTCTAACCACCCATCAAATTGAAAAGGAGCGCATCAACATCAACTCAAGTTGGTCCAGTGGATTTCATTGTAGATGTAGATCAGTGTACCGGTACAAGCTTGCAGGTCTCACCCGTCAGTCCAGTGCCATACAGTAGGTACAAGTACCAGTAATTTATCAGCTGGTGTTCTGTGTACAATATATGTGAATCGTGGTGAAATAAGACGCTCGTCAAAATTATAAAATCGAAGATAAAGGATTTTTTCCATCAGTTTGGCAGTTTTTATCAAAATTTTGTTTTTTGGCTAAACACCTTTTATGTTCTTATGTACACTCATTTCCGTGTGAATTTTACTGAAACACCTTGTTTAAAGAAACAAAATATGTAATTTTCAGTTTTCAAAGACTCTTTAGCTATTGAAGTTACCAAACTTTTTTTTGGCCATTTTCTCATTAATTTATCAACTGAAACCATGCAACCCCACTTTCTTCAATCACAAATATCTTGACTTCTCTTCAAGCTAGAAGGATATTTTTAAAAAATTGAAGTAAGGCAAATGACAGAATAAGCTTTCAGATACCAATAACTACATATGCCCAAAAATTGACGAGCGTCTGATTTCACCTCGCTGCCTTACACATATTGTATTTGTGTTCCTGACAACGAGGAAAAAATAATTTCTTTCAAGGACAGATCTTTATCAAGGATATAGAGGGTTTTAATTGTTTAGCACACTTTATGTTATATTTATAATTCATGCAACTTTTGGGAAACTGCTGTTTTGTTTTACAGAAATCTTAAAGTGTTGGAATATAATGCCCATAGATCTACATGCTGTTCTCAGACACTATTGTTATTATTATCGTTATTATTATAGTTATTATTATTACTGTTATGAATATTATTATTATTATTATTATGGACGAATTGTGGATGTATCAAACACATTTAATTGTCAGTTCTCAACTTTATTGTTATTGTTATATTATCTTCTCAGACATAATGGGTCACAGCGTCCTAAACTTTTGCAATATCTTCTTTGTGATATTTTGAGTCAGGACAACGTAGAAGACAGAAATTAAGACTAAGCATTAAGATTAAGTGATATCTTCTCTGTCCTGTTGTGTTGATTTCAGTGTAAATGTTGTGGAGTTAGCACAAAAAATGTATTGATTGTTATGTAGTACTTATGAGGAGTTCTGAAAGATTTCCTGTTAATTTATATACAGGGTGTCTCTCGCTAGACGCACCATGGGGAAAATACATGTTACAATTTCGACGTTTTCCTGTGTTGACGACATTTTGACGTCCTCACTAAGTGTAGCTCTAACTTTGTTGAGCAGTTTGTTGCAGAACACAGCACTACTACATTTTAAACAACAATTCGAAATAACAAATGCGTAACTCTCACCTGAGTCCTTTCAGATTTTATTTCAACAAGTGTAGTGCATAGAAGATTTCCTGCAAAGTGTGTGGACCTTGCCTCTGTCCCTTCCTGTCTCTATCGTCCGACTGTCCCCCCAAAGGCTGTGAGTGACCGATTATATACTTCCCGTGAACTACCACACACGAGATCCCTGCACAGCGCAAGATCCCCGTGCTCCTCCGCACGGAAACCCCACGCCCCGAGTAAATCTCGATACTTGTGGTGAAAAGAGGCCAAGTGTCCACAACACAGTTCAATGTCTGCACACTTTGGTGCCATTGAATAGGCCTAGTGTATTTTCCCCATGGCGCGTCTAGGAATTGACACCCTGTAGATTTTTCACAAGAGCTACTGTGTATTAATTAAATTAGTATTTCTTTGTTGATGTAAGTTGTCCTAGTTTTCTAAAAAGCTGGGAATTGTTTTACCTCTGCATTTTTGTTCAACTTTCGTCATGGAAAACCGTGCAGTTCGAATTGAATGCATATTTTATTTATATGCATATTATATTTATTTATGCAGACAAAATGAATTTTACAGGCAAAACTTACGCTTTCTGCCAAACTTCGACTTTTATCTTCGTTGAGGTATGAACCTGGACCAAGAAGGATGCAACATCCTGGAAGAAACAGCTGGCGCTCAGAGCCTGTGTACTTTAATTTGGGTTGGGTGTTATATAAATGCCATTTATTATTATTATTGTTATTATTATTATTATTATTTTTGCACTCAATAAAAATTCTCCTCATTGAGGAATTGAACAGGTCTCTTGCATGCAATGGCAAAATGCCCGACCACTACACCAGAGATGCTGCTCCGAGTTGTCTCCACACAACACCCATATATGCCTCTCAGATGACAGAGATCAGAGCAATATATCTGATGTGACTATGACACCTAGATTTTTGTAATACTCTGAGTTGTCTCCACACAACACCTACATATGCCTCTCAGATGACAGAGATCAGAGCAATATATCTGATGTGACTATGACACATAGATTTTTGTAATACTCTGAGTTGTCTCCACACAACACCTACATATGCCTCTCAGATGACAGAGATCAGAGCAATATATCTGATGTGACTATGACACCTAGATTTTTGTAATACTCTGAGTTGTTACTTGCTGCTTTTTCTTGGTACTTTTCTTGGTGCTCAAAGGTGCTTTCATAACTTTGCTGCTGGAGAGCTATGCAAAATTGTAGATTTTTTTTTCACCTGCTGCAGGCATCTGTTGAAATTGTTTAATCACTTGTTACCTTTTTGTTACACTTGATATAATAAAACTCTAAGCCCATGTACCTCTCGTTTGTGTGTTAGTTTTTAAAAAGTTTTAGTAGAGGTTTTATGGCACTTGCAACACAATAAGGTCATATAAGTGCCGAAGATTAGAGGTGTTACAAGAGAGTAACACACACAAAAAAGGGGAGAGATCAGGACGATAGATGTTTGATAGGAAAGAAGAAGCAAACCACATCAGAGCACCCACCAACCACCCATTAAGTAAGAGTTTAACGGCACTTGCAACACACCAATAAGGTCACGCAAGAGCCACAGATGAGAGGTGTTACAAGTGAGTAACACATAGACACCAAAAAGAACGAGAAGAAATAAGACCAATGGACGCCAGATTGAAATGAAGGAGCAAACCACTCCAGAGCACCCACCAACCACCTACTGCCTCAAATGAAAGCGAAGCACATTAAAGCTCAAGTCTGTAAGTCTGAGTGATTTAGAGCTGAGAAAAAGCAAACAAAACAGAGGGAAACAACTAAGAGATAGTAAAGAAAGAAAACAAATCAGCATAGCACTCGGTGACTCCTTGCAATACACAAGATCGGGAGTGGCCAAATTCGAAGAAAGTCGCGTCAGAAAGAAAGAATGGAGACGGCAGCTGAGAAAAGACAGAGAGAGCCCTACCTTCCAGCCTAGTTCAGCCCCTAACATCCCCTACCCCCACTGCAACAGACATTTCCGAGCGAAGATCGGCCTGATCAGCCATCTCCGCACACACCCCACCCCTCCAGTGATATGAAGTCAAGGTCATCTTCGCCAGCGAAAGACGAACATCATCATCACAATACCCAAAGATATGACTTCAGATTATTAAATTACACAGCTGTTGCTTGTGTATTACTCTGCCAGTCACCACAATATAAGGTCATTTTTTCAAAGAAGATTAAACGGGGGCTCTAGTGGCCTACAGATTAAGGTGTTCGCCTCTCTTCCAAAGGTACCAGGTTCGAATCCGGGTAGCGATGGAAAAAATTTTCTTCTTTAAAAATTGTCTCCTTTCACCTCCGTTCCTGCTCTCTTGCAATGTTCTGTCATCTACTTTCGTCTCCTCTTTCTGCCCCCAATCCCTCACCTTCTTTGCCCCCTCCTCTGGGCTCCTGACTCTTTCTGCAGCCTTTGTAAGAATACGCTTCAGCCGACACCTAGGCAAAATTCAAAATTTCCTACCAATTAAAAATGTTTGGTGTGTCCAGCGCGCTCATATGACCTTATGCAGTTGCGAGTGCAGTAGTAAAACACATAGGCTACATGTACCAAAAAAAAAAAAGACCAAAAAAACTACATCTGAAACTGAAAGCCCACCCAACATCCCTTGACATTGATTTGATTTAGTAAGTTTTACCGCGCTTGCAACACAATAAGGTCATATAAGTGCCGAAGAATAGAGGTGTTACAAGAGAGTAACAAAACACAAAAAAGAAGGAGGAGAGATCAGGGCGATAGACGTCTGATAAGAAAGAAGGAGAAAACCACACCAGAGCACCCGCCAACCACCTACCCCCTGACACAAACAGGAATAAAAGAGACAAAGGAAAGACATACTACAAGGCGAAAGTAAGATTTGAAAATATGTGAAAAGGAACAACAGATTATGTAAATAAAAGAACCTCAGTGCAAACTTTGAAGAGACAAACTGGGAAAAAAACAACAACACACACAAAAAAAACAACCCAAAAAACCCCCAGAAACATTTGTTAACATTAAATATATTTTATTGCATAAGCTGACAAATTAGACGTGGAGAAACTTTTGAGTCTGGGTATCAAGCTTAGCATGAACACCATTTGAAAAACAATGAGCGTATGCTACAACAGGAGAACAGGCAAGAAGTTACTTCTGGTTACAGAATGTGAACTTACAGACACACGGCAGTATTAACTCCACAAATACCGGTGATGAAAATCAAGTATAAATTAAAATCATAGTAGAGAAACAATGGTAACAGCCTTATAAGGACCACGGCAAGCATAGACAGACTTTTTTTTGTTTGGTAAATCACATTTCATAAAAAGGAATTTTGAAAAAAAAAAGTAGGAATTTTGAACAAAAACAGACAATTCCATATTGCTATTAAAAATTATAGAAAAATATCAAAACCCTTCAGCACATCACGCACAATCATATCCAGAAATTTGAAAAAAAAAAAACAATTTTGAAAAGTAGACATTTCCATTATCTCTTTTTATAGTAGTTAGTAGTAGCAGCATCAAAACCTTTCCAGGAACAACATAACATCCTTATTAATGAACAGTGTAAGGCACAATGGAAAATTGTGACAAAAATAGAAAAAACGGGTGATCTTTGTCTAAGACCACAGCGTAAAAATTTTGGTCTGCCGAACAAGCAGGTCGAATAAATGAAATACAAAAATAACAGCGATTAACTTCACAACGGCAAAGAACATTTCAACTCTTCTTCGAGAACGTGCATCACTGCTCAAAAACATCCTCCCACAGATAAAGAACAATATCGAAGGCTTTTTAAACACCAAAAGGTAAATTTAAAGACATTATACCAGTGCCCTGTTGGGATATTTTTGACATCTTTTGAAAACTGAAACAAATGGAATGTAGCACCATGACACTTGGTTTCTCAATATATATGGCAATAACAGAGCAATAATTGCGACGAATGCTGTCGTCTGTAAAGCAACAAAACTTGTAATTTATTGTATGACAGTGTGGAAAAGATCAACAACTGAGACACATAAATTGGCTAACAATAATTTGTTTTTTTCTCCTGTACACAAAACAACGAAAACAAGGCTGACCATGCAACAGAATTTTTCTTACTACTAACAAGTCTATTCTTTAATAATAATAAACACAAATTATTAAAGTGTAGATAAAAATTGCTATATGGCCTGACACTGATACAAACAATACAAAGTTTGGTACCATGTAAGTATACTACGAAAAAACTATCAGCCAGCCGGGACATTTGTTAGCTCTGAAAGGAATAGTTTCAGTTCCAGTAATGGCAAGATTAGAGTGTTAGCAAAAACCTACTACAGGATATGACCAGCTGAGCTGCTATAGATATTATTTATACAAATATCCTTTTCTCATAGGTAGAATATTATTATTACACTCCCCTACGAGACGGTTAAAAAATGCAAGGAAAACCCTTGAAGTTAAGCCAGCTTCGCCAAATCCTGCGCTCCAGGGAAATACCAGTAGTTTCCCTTGACATTCTTGGACAGTCTCATGATGTCGTCAGAATGACCATCGCCTCCAGAGCCCACCATTCTGTCCAACATGTACTCAAAGTTGATTGGGTTAGCGGCGTAGCCGATGAAAAACAGTCCGGCTTCCCCACTGATGGTGCCAAAGGGCATGGACTGACGGACAATTTCCACGGGTTTGGGAGACTGGAAACCATTGCCTGAAAGAAGAGAAAAAAAGAATTGCTCAAAATTAAATTTTTAAATTTTTTTTGGGGGGGCAAGTGTTTTACTGTGCTTACAACTGCATAAGGTCATATGAGTGCGCAGGACACATCAAACATTTTCAATTGGTAGGAAATTTGGAAGTTTTGCCTGGGAGGCGCCGACGCCTACTTTTATCGATTTTGGACCTCCAAGGGATCTTTAACCAGAGCAACATGCACACCAGACCTCAAAGATTTTTCGCCCTTGTCCCAGAGGGCTAGGTGTAGATCTTTCCTACCAGAAGATCTGGGGTGTGGCTGAATGACAGCCATAAGAAAGAACCAAGGAGTAGCAGTAGTCAGGCTGCAGAAAGAGTCAGGAACCCAGAGCAGGGGGCAAAGGAGGTGAGGGGGTTGGGGCAGAAAGAGGAGATGAAAATTAGAATGTCCACATGGTAGCTCTTTGTGGCACTAAAACACAATAACCAGAGAGGAGGGGGGACAGACAGACAGACAGACAGACAGACAGACAGACAGACAGACAGACAGACAGACAGACAGACAGACAGACAGACAGACAGACAGACAGACAGACAGGCAGGCAGGCAGGCAGGCAGGCAGGCAGGCAGGCAGGCAGACATCTTGAAACTGAATAAAAGTATGTGAGAAACTTACCGCTGGTCATCCGGGCTACATGAGATGAGATGGACTTGCGGGAGAGCTCTGTGCTGTCACTTTTGTCGCGCCCCACCCATGACTCGAGCGTTTTTGCTGGAACAAAAGCAAACTTATTGGTAACCTTGTAATATTGGAGGATTCAAACAAGATCATAGGCAGAAATCAACATTTAGATAACAATGAATGGCAATCGAATCTGCCTTAGCCGTTGACTTCTCCATCAAGGTCACCTGTACTAACGGCAACTGTTCCATGAGACCCTTGTATTTTTTCTATATTTTAACTTGTCCATAGTGGTCCACGTCCAACATGAACACAGTCAGTCTCGAACCCCACTCATTGCAATAAAAGTTTTCCGTCAACCCACCCTCAGACTGAGTGTGTATGTTCGGCATCTGATGATGATCAATGTATCTACAGAGGGAGAATATTTCTTTACAAGAAATAAGGATTAAGATAATCTGTGGCTTCTGCGTTGGCCACAGAGGTCAACTCTATCACAAAACTTTTGGGGAAATTTTGAGTATCTAAAACTGTCCCCATCATTTTATGCAAGAAAAATTCTGAAATTATGCAAACTGAGCCCAAAAATGTGAAATTATGCGATTCTGTGAATTTTAACAAAGAATGATAAAGGAAAATAATCCGAAATTATGCAAAAAATGAGCAAATTTAGATAAATTATGCGGGGTGCATAAAACCGTGGGGACAGCTAAAAGCTTCATTTCCACATGTGGATGCATGCGGCTTGCAAGCTTCTCTGTCGGCTTCAGCGTTTCTTATTGGTGACGCCTCATAACGTAATGAAAACAACAAAAGTAAGGACTCTCTCTTACTTTTCTCGGTACTGATGACGTCCAGGTTATGAATCCACTTCTGGGTAATCTGAAAAGATACAAAATGAAACAATGTAACAAAATGGCTGTGAAGCAATTCCAATATATTGTCTGTCTTCCAAAATCATATTCACATATTCACGCAAGAGTAATTAATCTTGTGGAGTGAGTCATACAGCTTGAGTCCCAGACAGAGGGGGGGGGGAAGAGGGGAGGAATAAGGATGAGAAAGATGAAGATATGAGTGGCCAGGATAAAGATGGTGGTGAGGAGAAAGAAGAAAATGAGAATGCACATGTGGATGAGGTTAGTGGTGAAGAGAAAGATAAACAGACTTCAACATAAGTTAAGGACCACTTGCTAACACTCTGAGTAGTCTTATTGGATCGACCTGCACGTGGGCGTTCTTGGACTGATCCAGTGGCTTGATGGCGCTGCCTCAAGCGGACAATGACAGAATGTGACACTGCAAGCCTTCTGGCAACTTCTCGGGCTCCAACTCCATCCGGCAGTCATGCCATAGCTCTGCCACAATCAAAGTCTCTCAGCTTTCGTCTTGGTGGCATATTGATGCGATACTGGGTTTTGCGCAAACGGCGGCTTTTATTGCCACCAAAGTGAGCACAGTTCGAGACCGTATGTCTGTTTATGACGAGCACCAGAAATTTTAACGAGGAATGTCCGTGGTGTCACACACAAGCGAAAACCCCCCAGCAAATTTGGCTAAAATTCCCCGAGGATTTCCGTGCTGCACGTGGTGGTTTTGCCCCTTAAGGAAGCTTTGCAGTAGGCATTGGTAAACCATTAACAATTTCAGAGCAAAAAATTTTGAAACATTCCTTGCTGTCTTTTTTCGGATTTAAAAAAAATCAGGGCTGTCTGTCAAGGTGACCCTTAACTTATGTTGAAGTCTGTAGATGTAAAGATGAGGATGAGGGGATGACAGAGGGGTAAGACAGGATGAGTCAGTACAGGACTCCATGTCTTAGAGCTGGATCCTGCTCGCCAAATCTGAGAGTGGCGATTCCCGATCCAGTCGGCTTCAAAGAATCGCGAGTACATGAGCGCTCGTGGAGCACGAAGTCTCGGGCTCGTTGTATACGTGAAATGGAACAGTGTCATATCAACGCCACTTCGTCAGTCCCACTCTTGTTTTTTCCCCGCCATCCTCTCCCCCCCCCCCCCTTCGTTGCGCTGCTCTACTGACCTCAATTATCAACCCCATAAATCCACCCCCATCCGACCCCATGATTCGCTAAAACAATGGCTCCATAAAATTCCTTCCGTCTATTGGTAGGAACCCGTTCATTTCGTTTTAATAAGGGGGGGGGGGGGGGGGTGGACTATACCATCTTTTGTAAAATAAGAGGAGCCATACTAAGCGCTCCGTTCCATATTCCGTTCTTGCGCTCGCGACATACGAGTAGCACTAGACTCTAGGCCTATAGATCAGATAGAGCTACAGACGAGCCGCATGGTGGTGACAGCGACAGGGGAGTGAATCGGAAGGCAACACTGTTGAGCGTTCCGCTGAAGTGAATCGCGTTCCGCAGGGAAGAGTGGCGATTCAGTTCTGTTCTCTTGCTCGCAAACCAACTCTACCATGTCTTCCTTCTAGGTGTCCTTGCATTTGAAGATCTTTACGGTAGAGGAAACAGCCACAGCTTATGCCTCACAATGGTGGGCTTTTTCAATTTTAATTTACAGTACAATCAATAGGTCGCTTTTAAGGACAAGAAGGCTATCCCGAAAAATGCTGTTCTGAGAAAATCGAAGTTAATTAAAATTTTTGGATTCTTAATCAGTCTCTTTAAAAAACAAGGAGAGTTTACATGTCTTTTAAAGAAACTGAACAAGGGGCAAAAACTTTACCATCGGTTTTCTCAAAACAGTATTTTTTGGGATAGCCCTCTTGTTCTTTAAAAGCGACCAATTGTTCAAAGTAAGCTCTTCTCTTGAAATTGGTTCATAGGTGATCAAGATATTGCCTTTTAAAAGGGTCCTCTTTTATATAATTATTATGAATTATTATTATCCTTATTGTTGTTGTTGTTGTCGCTTTTATCATTATCATTATAATTTTATTATCATTATTACTATTGACCCTATCCGTACATCCTGGGGTCATTTTGTACCCCTGGGGCTGTATTCTTCACATTTTAGAATACTTCTAGTACGAAGATCTCTTTGAAACTTTCAGTATTTCTCAAAAATCATTTTGTCAGACTGCAATGCAAAGCGTACGGATCGGATTATAGAGTTTATTTCCTCTTTGGAAAGTGATAGCACAGAGTTCCCCACGGCGTATGGATACAATAGTAAAACACGACGTACGGATAGGGTTAATATAATAATATCATAATTATCATCATTATTATTTTATTATTATTATTATTATTACTATTAATAATATCTTTATTATCATCATTATTTTATTATTATTACTATCAATAACATCATTATCATCAATATTATTATTATTATTATTATTATTATTATTGCTATCAATAATATCATTATTATCATCATTACTATTTTATTATTATTATTATTATTATTACTATCAATAATATCATTATTATTATCACTATTATTTTATTATCATTATTATTATTACTATCAACAATATCCTTACTATCACCATAAGGCCGACACTTACAACATAGCTCCCACCAGTTTCTTTCTCCACGGCCACCTCCTGTCTGCCCTCATCGTCAGCTCTGTTCTCCGTTCCTGGGGGAAAAAACGTCAAACAGCTTTAAATATACTATTTTTGTTATGGTACAAGGTTTTATGGTGTTTGCAACTGCATAAGGTCATATGACTATGAGCACCAAGGAGTGGATGTCAACAGAGAAGTCCAAACGGGTGGGGTAAAGGGGGGGGGGCGGGAACATTACATACTATGGAAAATCAAAGAGAACACAATATTATTTATTTCCCAATAACTTTTTCATGTTTAAAAAAAACAAAAAAACAGAACAGCTCCTCTGATGCTGAGGCACATAGAAAATATGATGATCAAATGTTTTTTTAAAATTGTTTTTGATCGTTTCACCAATCAAACAATTTCTTTCACGAATACTAAAACACATAATAATAATAATAATGACAATACAATTTTTTTAAAAATAATAATAATAATAATAATACTAAGACTCATAATAATAATGATAATAGTTCATGCGACGTGAACTACTAATGACCTTTAACATTCACAGAGGAAGAACAAACTACAGACTTCTCTAGCTGCTGCGGCTCTCATCATCATCATCATCCAGTGCCAAATCTGCCACAGACATCAGCGATCATGGTTCTCTATTCATTCCTTTGTTCAGAAGTTCTAAAAAAAAAGCTACGTTTCCCTGAACTTTCCTTGTCACCCACTTGTACAGGTTCCCCAAGTAGGTTGCTCTGGGCCTACCTCTGCCTCGCTCTGTGGCTCTACAGCCAAAAAAAACCCAAATTCGAACAGAATAAGTTTCTTACCGTCAATGAACCCTGAGAGATCTCTGCCGTTCTGGTAGACGAAGCTATAAATATCCTCAAACTTGTCCACGCTGTCTTTGGGCAGGGAGCGGATGAACAGCTGGCACAGCTCAAACAGCTTGCTGGTTTCGTTGGACTTGGCGTGGATGAAGATTTCTCCACCTGAAGTAGAAAAAGGATACACCGCAAGGTAATAGTCATTGGCTTTATTAATTACGTTTAGTTTGTTGTTTTAAGGTGGCGTGGATGAAGACTTCCCCACCTGAAGTAGAAAAATGATACAAAACCACAAGGTAAAATAGTCATTGGCTTTACTGCTTACGTTTGATTTGGGGTTTTATAAGGGGGGGGGGGGTGAAGTAGAACGATACACCACCGCAAGGTAATAGTCATTGGCTTTATTAATTACGTTTAGTTTGTTGTTTTTAAGGTGGCGTGGACGAAGACTTCCCCACCTGAAGCAGAAAAATGATACACCACCACAAGGTAATAGTCATTGGCTTTACTAATTACGTTTAGTTGGGGTTTTTTTAAGGGGGGGGGGGGGGGGATACAACTGAAGGGGCTTTACTGCTTACGTTTAGTTTGTTCTTTTTAAGGGGGGGGGGGCACAACTGAAGACTATCTGGCTTATTAGTGGACCAAGTTTTACCAAATTTCGCACATATATAACAAGTATAGTAAGGAGTCTTTAAATCTTAAATCAAATTTGAGAAAAAAGGCACTTGCAACACAATAAGGTCAAATAAGTGCCGAAGATTAGAGCTGTTACAAGAGAGTAATAAACATAAAAAAAGAAGGAGAGATCAGGACGATAGATGTTTGATCCTTTCAAAACAAATTTCCAAAAATTAAACAAAATAAAAAATACTTCTAATGCATCTTTCAGTTAATCTGAGACCAAAAACAAGGCCTGATTAAATAACTGGTAACTTAGTTTTAGTTAAGTTTTAGTAGAGGTTTTACCACACTCGCAACTGCATAAGGTCAAACGGGCGCCAGAAGATTAGAGGTGTTACAAGAGAGAAACAAACATAAAAAAGAAGAAGGGGAGATAAGAAGGACGATAGATGTTTGATAGGAAAGAAGAAGCAAACCACACCAAGGCACCCGCCAACCACCCACATTATAAAAATATCATTTATTATTATTAATATTATAAAAATTATAAATATCATTTATTATTATTATTATTATAAAAATTATAAATATCATTTATTATTATTATTATTATAAAAATCCTAACCAGTTGACAAAGTGATATATAGTGCCACCAAAGCAGACAGCTAGTGACATTAATCAAATTGCACAACCTTCAGGTTTTAAAAAAAAACACAAAAAACAAAAAAACATACAGACCTGAGCTAGGCATGTCACCAAGAGCACCTTTCCTATAGGGGTAAGTGAAGTTCTTGGGAGCTTTTCTCCCCGTCACCTGAAACATACAACAAAGAAACGTGGCCGGTCAAGCTCGTAGAAGCAAACCCATCATAGCTGGTCGCTTTTCAGCACAAGGGGTCTATCCCGAAAAAAGCTGTTTTGAGAAAATCGAAGGTAAAGTTTTTGCCGCTTGTTCATCTTCTTTACAAGACATGGAGAGTTTTCTCAAGAATCAAACAAATGGTCGCTTATAGGCACAAGGGGGCTATCCCGAAAAATACTGTTTTGAGAAAATCGAAAGTAAAGTTTTTACCCCTTGTTCATCTTCTTTACAAGACAAGTAGAGTTTTCTCAATAATCAAACAAATATACACACCAGTGAAACCAAACTTCTCCTATAGAAGAGGCAATATCCACTTTTGATATAGGTCAAGATTTCTGAAAACCCCCAAAATCTGGGTTAGCCCGCTTGTCCTTAAAAGCGATCAGTTGAAGTTGTATCCCGTCATGACAATGTCCAGTCTGGGATACTACTCTAAGGTATTGAATAAACGGGGAACGGGGGG